GTAGTGTGCACCACCAGCACCTCCCTCCAGCTCTGGCAGTAAAAATGCTATAGACGCCCCCCTGGGCTCAAAGATGACAAAATCACTTCAATCCTTACTCTGCGTGACCACAAACGCACTGCAATTACCCCCACACTATTGCACAACGCACCTAGCATGCAGTACCGTGCACGGGGAGCGGGGCATTTATTTGAATTGGACCCCAACGTACCTCCCGGCCGCTGTGCGCTGCTGCAATGCATGGTACTGCAACACTGCGCCTGCACCGCAACCCAACACACACCGGCAAGGAACCGCGCATTGCACCGCAACCCAACACACAGCGGTAAGGAACCGCGCATTGCACCCCAACCCAGCACACAGCGGTAAGGAACCGCGCATTGCATCGCAACCCAACACACAGCGGCAAGGAACCGCAACCCAACACACAGCGGTAAGGAACCGCGCATTGCACCGTAACCCAACACACAGCGGTAAGGAACCCGCATTGCATTGCAACCCAACACACAGCGGTAAGGAACCGCGCATTGCACCGCAACCCAACACACAGAGGTAAGGAACCGCGCATTGCACCGCAACCCAACACACAGCGGCAAGGAACCGCAACCCAACACACAGCGGTAAGGAACCGCGCATTGCACCGTAACCCAACACACAGCGGTAAGGAACCCGCATTGCACCGCAACCCAACACACAGCGGTAAGGAACCCGCATTGCACCATAACCCAACACACAGCGGTAAGGAACTGCGCATTGCACCGCAACCCAACACACAGCGGTAAGGAACCCGCATTGCATTGCAACCCAACACACAGCAGTAAGGAACCGCGCATTGCACCGTAACCCAACACACAGCGGTAAGGAACCCGCATTGCATTGCAACCCAACACACAGCGGTAAGGAACCGCGCATTGCACCGCAACCCAACACACAGAGGTAAGGAACCGCGCATTGCACCGCAACCCAACACACAGCGGCAAGGAACCGCGCATTGCACCGCAACCCAACACAAAGCGGTAAGGAACCGCGCATTGCACAGCAACCCAACACACAGCGGCAAGGAACCGCACATTGCACCGCAACCCAACACACAGCGGTAAGGAACTGCGCATTGCATTGCTCGGCGGCATATGGCGGCCAGGAGGCGCAATGGGACGCCATTCAGATTCAAATATGAAACAGCAAACATGGGAGAATGCCAAAGTCACGTTCAGAAATGTGCTATTTGGGTAAATGTGACCCGCGAGGTCTCGCTTCATTTTTTATTTACACATCAGACAACAACGGGGGAAAGTTCAATATTCTCTCACTGATTTATAATCAAATCTGAATTTATTTGTTTTATTTCTGAATTTCCAGACATTTTGTCTCTGTACATCTGCGCGTCCCGGATTCTGACTCCGCCGCGTGAGACCGAGGAGAACGCCGAGGGTCATCGAGTTTGTGCTTTTCAAGGATGGGACCTTTAAAAAAATAATAATAATAATTGGAAATGTTTATTTTTATAATAATTACATATTTTGCATCTTGCTAACATTTGTAAAAATCCTTTAAAAAAAAACACTTAAAAATAATACTACTAATATTAATAATTGTAAATTATTCATTGATATAATTTATAAAAAATATTATTTATAGAATAATTGCATATTTAACATCTTGCCAACGCTTGTAATAAAAAATCCTTAAATAAAATTAAAAATAATACTAATAATAATACATTTACATTTTTTTATTTAAATCATTTATATTAATATTATTTGTATAACAACTGCATATTTAGCATCTTGCTAACATTTGTAAAAATCCTTTAAAAAAAAACACTTAAAAATAATACTAATAATAATACATTTACATTTTTTTATTTAAATCATTTATATTAATATTATTTGTATAACAACTGCATATTTAGCATCTTGCTAACATTTGTAAAAATCCTTTAAAAAAAAACACTTAAAAATAATACTAATAATAATACATTTACATTTTTTTATTTAAATCATTTATATTAATATTATTTGTATAATAATTGAATATTTATCATCTTGATAACATTTGTAAGAAAATATTTTTAAAAAAACCTTTAAAAAATAATAATAATAATTGTTAGTCTTGTGACCGATACCAATGCACTGTCATGATTATATCTGCCGGATGATCTTTGGGGACTGATTTGGGGGACTGAAGATCCAGCCAATCAGAAGCACTAGCCAGTCCCCATAGATCAGGTCTCCAATATTCTCTGCAATGCAGCAGATAGGTGCCAAGGCATTAGGTCACATGACTCAGTATAACGAATTCCAGTTTTTACAACACAAAGAAAGTTTATCAGCGGGTCCAGGGCTGGATTTCCCACAAGGTCAACCGAGGCCCGGCCTTGGGGCAGCAGGGAGTAGAGGGGCAGCAGCGAGTAGAGGGGCAGCAGGGGGGTGGAATTCCTATCTCCTGATGCCCGGGACATGCAGTTCCGGGCGCCGGACGGGTCGTTGTTTTCTACATTTAGCCCGGCTTTGGGCAAGCAGAGCTAAATGTACACCGGGGAAGCCACCGCTTGTTTTATACAAGTGACCCCGGCGATGTTGCCGAGATCACTTGTGTGCAGCCTGCATGGGGGGGGGCCCGGGGGACGGGGGGGTTGAGGAACCTGGCATTGGGGCAACAGAGAGAGTAAATCCGGTCCTGAACAGGTCCATACATTTTTAAATAGGTCACCTTCACCGAGTTTTAGGTCGTCTCCCCTTGGAATGTTCAGAACAATTTTGTTGATTGATTGCACTATGAGGTTTGTTTTTTCTTCCTAGGGTGACGGGAGGACGCTAGTTTGTGTCCTCCCGTTACCCTAAGGAGAACTATGGGGAAAAGCCTTAACCCCATAGTTCTCCTTTAACTACCTGGGGGGATTGCTGATCGGAAGATTTAGACTAAGAAGATTTTTTTACTTTTTTTCACATCTTTTTACCATTTGGACTTTTTCTTTTTTGGTCTTTATTATTCAAATACTTCGTATTTCACTCACCTCACAATTTATTGTCACATCATCATTGGGATTTTGAAAGAAAAATATCACTGTGTTTTCAGGTTGATATATTTGGTTGCTTTGTTGCCAATAATATATGTCACATATTTTTGTATAACAATTTGCTTCACTGTTTGGATCTTTGTTGCATTTTCCACTGGGATGTTTCATGTTCTCACATCGATTTATAAATATATCATTTTGACTCACTAAAGGAATCTCACACATTGCCAACGATTAGGATATATTATGTTTCATGGTTCACGGTTTATTACTCACTTAGATTAGGCATGAATTTTTTCCAATAATCTCATTCATTACACCGTTTATTTAGTTCTAAATTTATTTAGTCACCTTTAGCGCTTTTTGTGTTAAAACTCCCAAACAATGTTCAGAACAAGTTTGTAAAAAAAAATCGTTGGAATACTCACATTTATCATTTTCAAAAAATCTTCTTTTGGCAGGTCCCGCAGAGAAAGCCGAACAACCCGTTAATCATCTGGATTAGACACAGCACGACCTGAATACCGCTCGCTACCATAATGGTGGAGAAGAGGATGACGTTAAACTCGACCACGCCCACCGGCAGAGTACAGCGACTCCAGACTTCCCTGTGGAAGAGGTAACTCCGCTCCAAACTGGAAGGAGACAAGAAGGAACCGTGAATGGTCTGTGAGATGGAGGAACACAGTGTAGGCTTGAAGTCATGACCTCAAATATATATCCCCCCGCTGCATTGTACTACATTGGTGATTGGACTCTGAAGGTCCAGATCTGGGTGGGATCTCCAATTCCCTTATCTCAGATTCATTTATAATGACCCCAAGGATAGGGGCGTCCCGAGGCTGGGTGACACCCAGAGCGGTTACCGAGTGTCACCCTGCTGAGACGTCACCACGCATGCGTGTGATGTCACCGCGCATGCCCGTGATGTCACCACGTGCGTGCGTGATGACGTAATCGCGCACGCGCGGCGATCTTCTGATACTGAGAGAGGAGGGGAAATCACAGGGCCCCATAGCAAAATTTTGTATGGGCACTGTGATTTCTAGTTAAGCCCACCTGATAACCCAAACATCCCACCTGAGGGTGACCCTGCAGAGCCCACCATAGACTGCAGGGTCTCAGGTGGGCGGTCAAGCCCTCTTACCTGTCTACTCTGATCCTCTGTCCACCTCCTTCTCCTCCACGATCGCTTGCGAGCCCCGCCTCCTCCGTAACTGGGCCCACCTCCTCGATCACATGGTCCCGCCCACATCACTAAGCCCCACCTCCCCGAACGACGGGCCCAGCCACCTCCTCCGAAGCTGCTGTTTGTCACCGACTCAGCAGCCTGAGATGCCATAGAGACCCAGGTGGCCCGCACGGCATCAGGGGGATGTCCTGGCCGGGCCCCCCTGTGCCCCAGGCACCATAGCAGCTGCCTGGGTCGCTATGGTGATTGTTACACCACTGATGGCTGCCATATCTTCACAAATTTCTTATTAGTATCCAGAATAATACTTGTCAATTTTTCGTTTATAAAGAAGAAATCCATCTGCCGCTTGACTTCTTCAAATGGCACAAATTGCTTTTTCCAGGCAGAGGCGATAGCCTGCTTGGCTGCCAGCAGTACAAAGGTGATCAAGCGGTGTTGGTTTCTAGTGAGGTTCGAGGGTTTGAGATGCAAAAGAGCCAACCATGGGTCCCGTGCAATTGGTATAGAGAATAAGTTGCTCAATACTCGGAATACTTTAGTCCAAAATCTGGCAAGCGTGGAGCATGACCACCATGTGTGGAGAACGTCACC